CAACAATATTAAATGTAACGCAGGTATGGACACGTAACTAGCTACGATTAGAAAAGCTCATTCTTTGAACTTCTAGGATGATGTTCCTGAGTGGCTGGAGATTCCTTTCAACAGTATTAGCATATATCCTTCTAGTATGTTGCGAATGTCAGCTCGATCACTATCTATATTTCTTCGAATGTTCATGAATAATGGATTTCCTCTATTGCATCCTCGCTCGATTATTGAAATGCGAACAATAGTAGGTGGCATCCATACATACGAAGATGAAAACTCATCTGGCAATGTCTCACCAATGCCAACTTTAGAGTTTGGTCTCATTTGGAATTGGCGAACTATGAAAGATGGTCGTCGATTCCTTGGTCATACAGGCGTAAGTCTAGGTGCTACCAATTCCATGCTTGTCAATGAACAAGGAAATGTGGGTGTCATCGTTCTGACAAATGGAAATAAGTCTTTAGATAATAGCCGATCAAATAAAGTTGAAGAGACTATACAACAAATTCAATTGATGCTGTTCAGTTGTTTTACGAGTTGACTTTCTTGTTTTTTTGCCATTTGGAATTGAATAATGAATGTTCTTTTTGAGCACACCTTCGTTGAAATCTGCAATAAACACGTTTGCATATCATACCAATTGCAAAACTTCTTCACTAAATTCACTAATATGATGACTATTTTGAAAAATACTTTTATTAATCCGAGCATCGCTGTGCTCAAACTGTGATTAATGATCACATTTGACATAGTGTGAGTAGAATCTTATTAATAAACACAAGGATTTAATCATTTTTAGAATGACATTAAATCGTCCTTATTCTCTCTTAAGACAAGACTAATCCTATGTGGCAAAAGCAACAATCTAACCAGATTGCACTTGCAGTTCTTGTTGTCGACAGTAGTTACTCTATTTTTTATCTGCTTCAATCAAATCATGTCCATCTTAATCATCCATAAAGGAATCATTTCCTACTATTCGCATTTCAAGTGCGACGATCGTTGTGATCAATGCAACTAATATCCTCTGTACAGAAATATTCGGTTATCAACTTTTTTCCGTGGCGAGCATAGCGGACGCGGATGAATCAGTTTTCGTTCTCGCTTCAATTACGAAAGCAATGTGATTATTTTCACATCGAACATTACCCAAATGTTGAAGATATCTTCAGTAAAACTGTCAAAATCCAAGTTGAAGAAGCACAACATACTTTTTATCGGAAATATTCTGAATGGTCGATTTTTTTATCTAGAAGCGTTGATAAACTGATCAGTCATTTCCACACAGAAAGATCTTTTCATTCATTCTCTATTAGGTGAGATAACTCTTTTAATACCAGGCAAGGTATACTTGATTGTTTCTCTCGAAATAACGACTCGTCAACCTGATGTTGGATAGATGAAAGTCATACTGGACAAGTGAATCGAACGTTGATGAAAGAGAGTATGGATATCGGTGCATAATTGGAGATGTGGGCGATGAAACAACTAACATCCAGCCATTCACACTTACCAGTGACAAACGTCCCACCTACTACTCATCCAATCATATAATGCCTAAGCTCCAAAGCTTTCATGAACTACGTATTTAAAAATCATCAAAAGTATCGAGTTTCATTTTGAACTTTAATGCAAATCTATGAATACTCTTCACCGACTTTTTTCTCTTACCTATATCATTGTGCTTCTATAGATCTTCCACACAATGTGTGTATAACTTTTTTCTTATCTTTACCAATGGATGTAATAGCATCGGCCACTTGAAATCTGCGATCTCTCTATCTTAACGTCAAGTAAATCGGTGTCAAACTGTGGACGAAGGACGATCACCCGCTGAATAGCGAAGTCGATCCGTGTTAACATAATGTTCCAGTGATAGTTAAACCGACAAATGACGAAAATATGGGGATTTATTACTTTATTTTTTGGCCACATCTCGACTGAAGTGCTGCATGATATGTCCATCTAAAGTTGAATACCAAAGTGATACCAACAATATCTTCAGTTTCGTTGATGTCATTTGTTTTGGAGCAAGAAGTTCAAATGCAGACGATCTACAGTATGTCGTCAACTACTGTCAACATTTTTCAGAAGTTGACATGTTGAATACATTCATTAATCAGACTTGAAAAGGAGCACCAGTTTGTGTTTTGATACCTAACAATCAGACCATACAATGAAAATGATGATTGTTATGTTGTTAGAGCCGAAAACGTAAAGAAAAATGCGTGAAAAGAAACATATTTTCATGTTACCAGTAATATAGATATGCATCTTAACTGATGACTCGATAATTGACCAGTGTTCACAGTGACTTCTAAAGCTCTTATGATTGTTTCACTACATCATACGGTAACTGTAACAACGGATAATGCATCAACCAGTTAAGAGTCAAATACAAACTAGAGTAAAAATTTGACTTTGACTTTTATTCTTCAGTTGTGATCAGAATCCGCAAGTTTATCAACTATCTTAATCTTCTCTATAGAGCAATACATCTAGTATTTGCTTTTCTGTAAAGAAAATAGAAAGTAAAACAATTGACGACATCGAGAGATCAAAAGAAAATTCTTCAACTGAACAATACACTGTTATATATTATTATAAGATATTCGATCGAGTTAGTATTAACGATTCCATTGTTTTCTCACTTAATAATTTTTTTAACACCAGATCATTTGTTATTTGTTACATCGATAACAAAGAAACATAGATATCAAGGAATCATATCCAAATGTAAACTTGGTTTTAGACTCGAGTTCGATAGCACTATCCATCAGAGTAGAATACCTCTAACATTCTCAGCTTCTCACTATTCTCCGATGACTTTTATCAACCTTGTCTTGAGTAATGTGAATACCTTTTGCAGCTTAACTTCATTTATTTCTTAGTATCGCTTTCTTAGGAAACAGCTAAGATTAATCATGGAGGAAAAATCAAAACTTTATGCACAGCATCAAAAAATAATAGTATTATGTGTCCATTTATGAAAATGAAGGTATCACTAAACAGTAGAAATATAATGTGAAAATATGGAGGAACGATAAATCAAAACACTTGACAAGATGATGGAATAAAACAATATCAATTTCAAAAAAATATAAAGAGTGAGATAATAACATAATGAGAAATAGTTATATGATTCAGAAAAGAACGTTCTAACGAGTTGATCGATCAGTAACCATAACGAACTATTTCTGGCCTTTGCTGAAGCAGACAAATAATCACTACTTTGTCTTTCGCTATTATTCACTGGACAGAAAAAGGAAGTGTTTTGCAAAGAACACATTTGTAGAGTAGAGATCTATCTAGGAATGTGATGGTTCAAAAGATCGTATGTTCAAAGCTTTGCTTGGACAAGCTCAGCTATTTCTAAACTACCAAACTAATTTAAAGGGTCAAAATTACAAAAATTAAACTTAACCTTGCAACAATTGAATATTTAAAATACTCATATGTATCATTTTTCTTGGTTTAGTGTATTTATCAAAAACAAAAGTGTACGAACTTAAAATATGTATGTTTATTGCACAATACATATTCGATTTTCATTCTGTTTTTTTACACGATACTCGAAATTCTATATGCACTTTTGTTTTTAAAGGTCATTATCAGTTAGTTTCTTTGTTCGATTGGTTGACTTCAGTTCGAAAATTCTGTTTTACAAGAATTTAGATTAATGTGATTCTTGTTCCTTGTTTACTTTCAGTTGTTGAAGAAATGAAAATGAGTTTCAACAGAGTTTTCTTTCACATTGTTAAATGCTATTCAATTATTCTGGTTGTTATTTATTTCAAATGACATCTACTGTACTTTATAAGAAGAAAAACAGCTAAGCTTAATATATTTCCGTTTTCTTCATGTCAGTTGCATGGATTTCAATATAAGACAAAATTAAAAAAAGCTTCTCAAAAGTTCATATTGAATAAGAAACGATGACAACAAGATCATTTTCTTCAAGGCTGTACATTGTCTTTAGGGACCCAATTATTGACTAGATGATATGGTTATGTAGAGAAACAAATCGACAGATAATATTTAGTCTTATTTTTTGAAATTACTATCCGTTATCAATTGTATACACATCGTCTCTAAGAAAGAAACCTCATCTAGAATCTTTTTAATAACCAAAGGCTGTAAGTGTCACATATAACAATATGAATATGATCAATATCAATTGCTATTGGTGTCCTATTTTGTTTCTGATACTTCAAAATTGTCATAGGCATTGGTTTTTATTTTACTGTCAACATTATTTCATTCATACATTTCATAATAGGTTGTTAAGCATCTAAAAGAGAGTAGCATGCATTTAAAAGCTTGACTCTTTCAAAGAGAAAAAGAAAACAAGAACAGTTAGAAATATTTTTTCACAAGCAATTTCAATAAATGATAGGTCAATGTTATTTTATACTTTCGACAAACATGGATGCCTATCATGTTTAATGTTATAGTTTGTTTCTGAACTCTATGTTAAAAAAAATCATACTTGCACAAACATATCATAGCTCTGTTGTTCTCATATCGTTGGTACTAAAACTACCATGACCAAATATCTTGCTATTTTCATCTATAATTTGTAAAAACAATCATATATCATAGATTGATTCAAAAGAACAGTTCGAGTTAGTCAATCAGACATAATTTTTCATTTTAACGTAGGCACTTATTGTATGCAGAACAGAAGCGAGCATGACTCTTTGAAATATAATGCACAAATAAGCGGGGGTGCCTTTAACAGGGGGAGGTGTGCCAGACTATGTACAGATCATAGCAAAGGGAAGCTTGTTGTATTAAACCATTACCTAAGCTCAGTAGTGGCACGGCGAAAAAAGTAAAAGAATGGTAATCACAGCTGAAGATACATCTCAAGTGTCAAATAGTCATCTGATTGGTAGCCATATGCTCTGTGCTATATATCTAAATTGTGCTTTCATAGCTATTTATTTAACGAATAACAGCACAATACAAGTTCATGAACGGAGATTTTGAAAACGTCTCTTCTATGCCCATCGTCCAAGAATAGCCATAAGTGCTGCACCAATATACAGAGCAATAAAATATAAACATTTCACACGTTTTCTCAATTGGAAAAATCCATGTGCTCCAACACCCATTTCACCGGCCATCAAATTGACCAAAGCAACATAGATCAAAATACCACTCGAAACTGAATCCAGAACACCAGTCGTCACCAATGCAACTAATGATTTTGGATTGTATGTATTCAAATGAACGCCAATACCGATAGCAATACCAACTGGAGTAGTGAGAGCAAAAAATGACACCATGAAAATAGCTGGTAATATCGATTTATTATTGAGTTGTGAAATTTGTGCACCAAGTGCAATAGCTTCGAAAAATTGATGAAAACAAAGTGTGATAAAGAGAACTATAAAATGTGAACCATCATCAGTACCCAATGCCACACCAATGAGAACCGAATGTGCAGCAATACCAAACTCAAGTAAATAAGTAGTGACACGATGATTGTGACTATCTTGTAATAATGATAAACCATGACTATGACCATGTTGTTGACTGCTTTCAATTGGTATTATGGCAGATTGTGTTTGAGCCTCTTCAATTACGACTTTTGTCTCGTGTATTAGTACCCTTTGTAATTGATGATGAGCAATGAATTCGATGAGTTGCATGGCCAATATAGCTAGCATGGCAAATAAACCTGCATAGGCTTCATATTCTTTCCAACCTTCTGG